CGGTTCTGACGCTGACCCAGAACCTGCTCCTGAGGAAACTTTTCGCCTGACAGTCCGTGGAGGGAGTGCCCCGGCCCACAGGTGATGCATGGCACACAGGGGACCGCCAGGACCCCAGGCCACCCGTGTCACCGCTGGGAACAGGAGGTGCAGCCCCGAAAGCTGCAGGACTGGCAAAGCACATGTATGATGCGAGACCCTCACCATGGCCTCCGGCCCTGCCAGTACCTGGGGCCTTTGGCTTCCCCATGGAGAGGGATGGAGGGTGGGCAGCTGGCAGCCTTGGCACCTTTACCCAGCGCTCCTGGCCATGACACAGGGTGGCCACACACCCCGAAAAGGCACCGAGGTGCTGAGCAAGATCTGTGCGTGTTGGAGAGCCCCGGGGCTGCAGGACCCTACGGGAACCCCAAACCCGGCTCACGCATGGGAGGGGGCTTGGGGTGCTCCTGGCATGGGGCTGCCTGGGGGTGGGAAGGCAGAGTGCCCCCCGGGGTGGTGGCGAGGCAGGAGCAGGCTGCCGGCGTCGCGGCTGGCTCGGCGCTTATTTGGTTTATTTGGGTCTGGTGGGGAATGGCCTGGGGGGGTGCGGGGACAGGGACACGCTCTATACGGGGAACACGTGTCTGATGCGTGACGCCCACCTGCCTCCGCAGGCTGGCACCCGCACCGGGGCTACTGAAACACCGCGGCTAACGCAATGCCGACACACACACGCACAGCTACCGCTACACACCGACACATCTACAATGCTGATGGCTGGCCGTCAGGGAGGCGCCTCGAAGGGACCCCAAGGCCACCCAGGATGGGGCTGGGGGACACGGAGCATCCCTGCGAAGGGCCCCGGGACACACCTCTCCCTGCGCTGCAGTGCCTGTCCCCACAGCCGAGCCAGGGCCACCAGCACCTCTGGCAGCAGGACCAGGCAGGTCCCCCACTCCAAACCACCCTGGGGGGATGCCAGGACCCTGGAGGGGTGGGAATGCCCTTCCCCTGGTGGTGGCTCCATCCGGCCCCACAGTGGGAGTCAGGTACGGAGCAGTCTGTGACCGGAGGAACCATCAGCCCCAAAACAGGGAGGCAGAGCCCTGGGGAGCAGGTTGCCTACTGTCCCCAGCACCCCACTGCCCGGGAAGGGTCAGAGGGGCTTACACACACCCAGAGCCCCTGGGGAATTGGGGGCATGGGGGACCTCAGTAGCTGCTTCAAGCAGTGGTCCCTGCCACGGCCACGTCCCCAGAGCTGGCAGCTCGGGATGGCCGGGGTCCCTGCAGGCAACCCACATAGCACAGCCATACCTGAGCGCAGCCCCTGCCCCACAAATGCAGCCTGCGGCGGGCGCCGCGCCGGCGCCGCGCGCGC